TAGTAGTTTCCGCGAAAGAAGTTTGCAAGTATCAAAGCAGGCTTCGATGGCAAACTCAATATTATTCTAATCAACTGTTCTAATGGTTTTGCCGGAGCGAACTCTCGGCCTGCATATCGTTTGTAATCGTTAGCTGCCAGCTCCCATATGACTATGTCAGGGAGGGATCTCATATAGTTTTGTATGCAATACGAAAAATATTCAGAATCAGTTCCGCCAATGGCAACAGCACTGACTTTTAGCTCGGAAGTTGTGATCGGTGTTACGGTGTTGTTCCACCAATCACTGAAGGCCTTATGATAAACGCCTTCAACATTTCCACGATCTTTCTCAAGTCCACCACCTGCCGAAATAGAACCGCCAACCACAAGCACATTCAGATCACTGCCAGTGAGAGCCTTCTTAAAGACTCTTTTCAACCTTTGGGGTGATCCAAGATTGGCTATTCCAGACCGCAGCATCCCTGGTGAGATTCCTATTTCGTTCAGTGATTTTTGGTAATAAATCCAGCTACTCATAAAATCCCGAGATAATGATATTTCCAATGACTTAAGTTCTTCTCTATAGAGCTCATTTAAATCATCGTTCTTACTTTTGGAAGTAACGTTGTCCTCGAAGGACGTCGACGTTTCATTTGTTACTTTCAAGAGGGAAGGAAGTTTGGAAGCCTTGCTTTTGGTGGTTTCATTTTGCATGATTGTTACATTCCTGAAATGCTCCTTAAATTCGTCCCTCGACTTGTTTGTGATAAGGTTGGGCTTCAGAATCACCATTGAATCCTCTACTTTTGCAACTTTGACTGGTACCCCTTTGTGCACCATTGGCTGTTGAGAATCATGACTACGATTTTTCATAAGTTCTTTGATGGACTTTGGCGACACTACTATTATTACTCTATCTTTCAAATCAGTCACGTTTTCCTTTTTGGAAGCTTCGGCTGCCACTATTGGATTTGAGTTACCACTGGACACTTTCAGTCTTAGTTCACCTTCCGGGACACTTTTTGCCGTTTCGTTCCTTTCAGCGGCTCCGTCAAAACTCAGTAAAGAAATAAAGTCTTCTAAGTATTTTTTCAGAGATTCTTCTTCCGAGGGCCCACTTTTATTCTGTTTTGGAATTCCAGAGATGTTATCGCTTGCGCCATGCTGAACGATGAAACTTGCATTTGAATCCTTTGTTATGACTTCGATAGGATTTGAGATTGTACTTGTTTTGTTATTCTCAGGCTGATTTTCTTCGCTTTGTGAGATGTTGATGGAGTTGTTTGACTCATTTCCATAGTTATCACTAAAATGAAGCTGTTTGCGAAGATCTGTTTCGTTTCCGAAGTAGCTCATCAGGACCTGATGGGATGAAAGGCCGTCATTTCCCGATGTTGGTGGAGCAGAAGTGTTCATGATATTTGTAGAAGGAATAATTCTATGTTGAGGGGTCAGCCTTTGGTTTACGTAGGTAGTGCTTAAGTTACTTTGGTGACCAAGCTCACTTCCTCCGTTTTGAATTTCATCGCTTATAACATCAGTATCGTTTGGTGCCTGTTTGTACATTTCCTTGGAATTTGATAAATCAAATAAGGTCTGATTTGCTACCTGGATACTCCTTATTTGACCTGATACTTCTCTGTTCTTTTCAATTCTGAGAGAGGAAAGCTCTTGGTTGGAAACATCCCTATTATTTCCAGGATCCTCTCCATAATTATATAAAGGATTCTGTGGGATTGTGACATATCTTCCGTTTCTCCAATTCCGTTCATCGACGTTACTTTTCAGGTTCTTGAAAAACATTCCATTTTCTCTTCCAGTTTCTTTTTTATCGCCATATTTGTCATCAAACAGTGAATGAAATCGGGAAACTTCCCTCATCATCTGCTGGGCATCGTTCAATACAGGGTTGCTTTTAAAGCTAGCACTATGCGCTGGGAGAAAATTTCCGTGGGCTTGCCCGTACAAGTCCCTTAATTTCTCAATCAATTTTTTGTACTCTTCGTGCCATCTGGATAGAGATTTGTTTGGATTATGCACATTTTGATGAGGAGCAATCTGCAATGGCACACCAACAAAACTTTTGATAGGGTCTTTGCTTTCATTGCGGTCCTCGTTAGAAACAAAAAGGGGCCGGGCATGATTTCGTTGCCAACTGTTCGACTGCAGTTGTTGAGTTTTTTTGTTGTGTCTATATATTGAAGATTCGTTCATCTCATGTAAAGAAGCTTCCATAGTTCTTTGCTGATTCGCTAAATTCCATGGAAACTTCCTGCTACCATATTGCGAGTTACTTAACTGATTAGCGCTACTTTTCAGGCTGAGATGCTCATTGAGTTTTGTTTCCGTTGCTTGTAATGATTCCAAGTATGGTTTTTCGGAATTGCCTGCCTCCTCTGCTTTTGCTTGAAATTTTCCTCTCACGGAGGGCTCTAGAGACAGAGTCGTTGCATCAGTCACAGTCGCCACATCGTTTACGGTACCTGTGCTTTTACCAAATTGTTGAACAGTTATATTAGTTTTACTCATGTGGAAATGGTTGAGGCCATCTGTTTCAGCGAGTAGGCGAGCATTTATCTTTTCCCCAGGAAATTGCACGACATACTCGTTGTTTGGCCTTCGTCCCACCTCCGGGGTCCCCGTGTAACCAACAGAAATCCTTCTTTCATCATCGTTTGTCCTAGTGGGACCATTTATCTTGAGAGGCAATGCCATTTGGAAGCCTTGTTTCCGGTGCTTCGCATCGATTTTATGAATATTTTTAGTCGTTTTTAGAGTGTTAACAGCGGATGAATTCTTTTCCTTAAAGGTCCCTTGACTTGGAGGCAAGTGACTGCTACCACTCCCTACCGATCTAGACTTTGACATATCACTCTGATTGTACGGATGCCATCTGGTGTGGAAAATGTTTCTTTCATGTGTAAAGTTATTATATTTCATCACTGAAGCTAGATCCTCAGGATGATTATTTTTATTGTCCGCTAATGTTTTATCTGGTCCTTCTTCGGCACTTCCCGTCAGAACAAATTTTCGCTCGTGATCATTAACATTGGCATGTAGAGGTTCAGGATTCGTTCTCATTTTGCGGTTATCTGTCGCTAGTCCCGAAAAAATTCTGAGGTTCTTTTCTAGATTCCCAACAAAATTTCTAACAAGGGTAAGGTTATTATTCTCAATGACTCTTTCTGAGGAAGGTAAATAAGCAAGCGTACCATTTTCGTTTTCGCCATTTCTGGCGTGCCAATTTGTAGTGTTTTGTTGAAGAGTGAAGTTTGTGTGAACTTGCTGGATGTTTCCAGGACTATGCAATGTATTGTTTTTGTTTAGCTGCATTGGAAAGGGAAAGTGTTTGTCAACATATTGGGGAGCTTCGACACTTTGAATGATTTTATATGGCTGCGTCACATTTTTCTCAGCTTGTTTAATGGCGTCCCATATAGGCTTGCTTAGGACTGGATGCGATTCTTCATCATTTGGACTCATTTCATCGTCATCTTCAATGATCGTTACTTCCCCAGGCAGTAGACTCTGATTGTTTTGTTGCTGTTTTCCATTTCTCATAATGGTCTCGTTTTCCACTTGTTTATCAGCATACGCCGACATAGCTTGATTAACGCGTAACTCTCCTTGTCCCTGGGGTGGATGCGTATCCACAACTTGACTTATTCTGGAATCTGATTTGGTCAGTGCACCAAGCACATCGTTCACCTCTTTTCCTATCATTTGAAATTCTTCATTTTCACCTTCGTTTATACTATTTGCCACATTGGTATATTCCACTTTGGCTTCATCTGAACCCAGGGTGTTATAAGAATCCGTGTCTTTGCCATCAATGTTGTCAATAACTGTGACGTAATTGTTTCTGAGACCAGACAGACCATTTTGGTCTTCGTTTTCTGAATTGCCATTTCCTTCAACCTCTTCGTAAAGTGGACTTCCAAACTCGTACTGTTTAGCCCCATGGTCTTGACTGTCCTCAATGAATTCAATATCCTGACGGGGTTTTTCCTTAATTCTCTTTCGAAGAACCTCTCTAAAGCGCTTTATTTCCTTATTATGAAGGGAGCTGTGAGGTCTTGGCTTTCGGTCGAAATTTAAGCTCGTGTCTTTATGACTACTAAGTAAGTTGTCGGCATCGTGACCTATCTCCGCGCTTTTTTGTTTCTCATCATTTGCTTTAAAGGCGTTACTTAGATATTTTTGTGGAAATTTGGCTTGATCATTGTTACTAATTGTCCATTTCTTTGCCATAGGCTGTAGAAAAGAATGGGTCTGCGAAAGGACTTCCCTCAAAGGAGACACCATCGTGCGTCGTAATTGTTTCCAACTCTTGCCAAACACTTTATCCTGATCGTTATCAGTTTCACTTCCATGGCTAACATTCAGCGTCAGAACAAACGCAAAACAGGTGATGAAAACTTCTCTCATTGCGGTATGTTTACTTTGGTTGCTTGCTTTGTGACGCCATGGTGGTCAAACAAAAGTCCGTGTAAAAGGATACTCACCGAGGAAGTATCCTTGATTAAACTCCATGCACCAGTCTGCGAAAATACAAATGGTCATCCATCACATATTGAGATTATAAACTCAGTCTGTTGCATGCAAAGGACCCTGGACGCTTACTCTTACTCAACATTAATCTAACTGTGTTTCAAAGTAACTATATGAGCTGTCTTTGACAGGATTTAATCTAGGGTGATGCGGGCTAAATTCAGTGTGAAGCAGAACGTCCCAAGCAATTGCAACGATGAAATTTAGTTCTTCGCTGGGGGTTTTGCTCTTTTGTTTTCAAGTGGATTAAAGCCAGGCCAAACACCCTCTTCACCCAACTCCAGAAAATGAGTACAATGAATCCCCATTTCACAACAGAGCATTCTGTTTGCTGTTCTTATTTTTAAACATAAATAGTAATGTTTTCTTTTTCGGTTTTTCTATTTTTTTTAATGGCGTTACGCTTTAACTTTCTCTGGGGAAATCCGAGAGCCCTTTCCGGTCCTTCTATTTGAACTGAATGGTGGAGACGGGAAAGGGGGCTAGTAATTTTCCTCCGTGTTTTAAAGACTGTGTGATATTCGATTTTCTTTTCCTCTGCAGAAAACAATGTAATGTGCTATTGGTAATAAGTGACCTAGAAAACGATTGCACATAATAAAAAGTACCCCCGTCTCATAGCAGGTAACGTAACAGGTACCAAAGCAGTTTTTGAGTGAAATCTGTTGATACGTACATGGCAAATTAAAAGAAATTGTTATTATGGCTGATTTGACTTTTTGACATTAACTGATCTTTTAATAACTGTTTACGACGACGATTAGTAATAAGTTGCAATTGAGACTATTCTACATTGGTTTAAAATAAAATAAGCATTTTCTTTTCTTGGCAGGTGGAGAAACTGCAGTTGGGGAAACAACAGACAGTTCCTCAAGCAAAACACTGACCTCGCTGCCTGGAACAGATGCAATTTGTGGACGAGAAATCGACTCAGTGTTTTTTATGTATTAATTCACATAGCCGAATGGCTTCATGGTTGGAAACCGATACAATTAACGAAGCCATAACAATTTTCCATTTGCCTCACTCAGACATAACATAACATACCTCATTGACTTAAAGAGAGGTCGCTGAAACTGGCCCTGAACCACAATCATGATGTCAATCATGGCACATCTTGTATTATTCTATCAAGCGATAGTCAGCGATTCGATTTACAGTCATGGATAAACGGCTTCATTTTCATCAGAACCTCTTTACCCTGACCTCCTCTATCCGTCGAGTTTTCAGATGTATAAAATTTAAGATTCAATATTAAAGTTGATAACGTCAGGTCTATTTTTTATATGCCAATTTTAGGGCAGGAGCGTCTAAACGATCACGTGAAACCAGGAGACCATTTTCATTGGCTTATTTCATCCTAGATTCACTTTGGCCTCTACTCTCTTATAATGCCAGCCTTTAGTTTGTGGAGATAATAATGAAGCTGTGCAATGCATTTTGCAATAGGAGAATTTCTTGTTTTTTATCTAGTGCACTTACGCCGATCACGCGTTCTACGTTATGTCATCAGTGTGTACCCGATTTAGCAGGGCGCCTATTTCTGAGACAACACTCGGTTTTATCAAAAAATCAAACTTGGATCATTTGAGGCATTCCAAGGAAATGTTTGAAGTCGACCGCCCTGATGCATCAAAGCAAACAAAGCACCTAAAATACGATTAACGAGACAAAATTCAACTTCCACGTGCATCAGAAAAGCGAGATAATTGATGTGTTGTTACGCGAAGAAACGGGAGGGATTAGTACCAATATTTCCGTGAGAGTCCGCTGAGCATCCAAATTCAAATTTTACCTCAATACTATCTTCTTTCATTGGAACCCCTTCTGACGATTCCACGTAGTCGTCCGCTAGAATCCTCTTCCATCTGAGGATGAATAGTTTTTCTTTTTGCATAGCAGCTCTTGCTGCCCTTCTCCTTGCATCATGCATCCTTGGGAAAGATGATTTCGACTCTAGACTGGTTATTAGTGAGGTTTCTCGAAAGATAGACCTTTCGACTCAGCTGACTAAAGTCAGTACTTCCTTAACTCTAGAGAATGAAGGAGATTCTGCAGTAGGACACTTTCATCTGGCAATCGAACCAGCTCTTGTCGATAAACTTGCATTTGTTGGAGTTACGGTGAGTTTTCTTAAGCTTATTTTCTATGTTACAGATAAATTGCTCGAAGCGTGACGGCGAAGACGAATCTTTTGTCTGTAAATTCTGTTCTACCGCTGCCACGTATCGAATCGAAAGAAATTCTATCTTATAGCTCACGTTTTCCTTGTGGATTTTTAGGCCAAGACCCCTGATGACGAGGACTCGACTTTAACTATGGAACAAGTAGAAATCGAAGCACATAGGTAAGCATTTATGCTGGTGAATTTCATTTCACAATAAACGAAACAAATAGTAATGAATGTATAGTCATCTTTTTAACCGTGCGTGACGTTCTTGTTGTATTACGCTTTCTTTATTTGTTCTCGAACATTTCGGACAGATCCAACAATTGTTTGCTTTGTAGCGTGAAGCAACCACATATTATGTGTGATTTTCATGTCGTAAAAAATGCATTTGAAATGGTTGCTACATGTAGCTAAATAATAACATTTAGTTTGTGGTAGTTCGAAGTAAATTTCGATTTTAAAGTAATTTGGATTTTCCCATTTGTTCTTGTTGCATTACCATTGTCCTTAAAGGATAGAAAATGCAAATCGAACAAGTTTGAAATAATTTTAGACTGAATTCATTTTAAACAACAACATGTACAGGCACTGTGTACATGTGTGCATTTGTGAGGCAATGACTTTCCTCTATCTTATCCTTGTGATTTTAAATATTTTCCTCAATTAATTTATTATTTAGTGAAACAAAGTTCTTCAGAGCAGATCTTGGATTTCGCCTGAAACCAGGACATACAGTTGAGCTGACTGTGGATGAAGTGTTTGCTCATGCCATGACTCCCTTCCCAACCAAGATCACTCAATCCGAGAAACAATTTGTCCTCTTTTCTGCCAACCATTATTACTACACACCTTACACTGTTAAAAAACAGAGTGCAACTGTTTCCTTGGCAACGTCCTCTGTGGAGTCTCACAGTAAGCTTAAGCCCACTAGTCAGTCAGACAATGCTATAACATATGGACCTTACAGTGATGTTGAGGCATTCCAGATTAGTCCTATGAGAGTTCATTTTGAAAACAACACTCCCTTTCTCTCGGTATGTATTATATGATTAGTCAAATGCTCTGCTAATGTTAGAGTGAAATCACTGAATCAAATTTTTAAAGCAAACTTTCATCCTGAGGCTCTAAAATCTTCCCAGATCAACATTTTTTTTAGTAATTAATAACTGACAATTTTGTGACAAGTTGTACAAATCTGTATTCAGGTGACACTGACATGGATTGTGTGGGTTTTATCACTTTTTTTTTTTGGTTTCAATTGAACCTTCAAAAGCTTTTGTAGGTTGAATATCTCGACTTTTGGATATCCAGGAGTGATCATTTTGTTAGTCCTTTTTTCAAGTTGAATAGATCATTAAACAGATGGGTGGGGAGAATTATGGAAAAAATCTGAAAAAGTAGATATTAGAAAGTTTCAGTGTATTGAATGTTTGCGAAACTTATTAACTAAGAAAGAAACTTCTGCGGTTTGAAAGATATTCATGTAAATATGTACTAGGAGGTACATGTTGGATAAAGGTGAGTTTTTGTGTTTTTTAATTCAGGTGCTCCACATGGCACGAACAATTGAAGTTTCCCATTGGGGCAATGTTGCAGTGGAAGAAACCTTTCATATGAAGCATGTGGGAGCAGAACTCCAGGTGAGTGATTACTGTTTAAGAGATCTGTGGGCTTATGTAGGTTAAGAATGTACAGTGTAGGATTTTTCCATCACTTTTGACTTAGTGTTTACTTCAAAGGCCAGCTTATCCTAGAATTTGGTCTCTTATGCATCTTGTGATTTTTTTTTTCCACGATATGCACATGGGCTGAACATGCATTTTGTCATAGTAGTTCATGTGCTTCATCACCTTAACCCTTTAACTCCCATAAGTAACCAAGAGAGAATTTCTCCTTACCATTTCAGTATAATATCAAGCAGACAAGTGATGAGAATAAAGAAAAATATGAGTAAGAGGATTATGGATTATTAGTTGATCCAATACCAAATTCTTGAAACTAAATCACAAGAACTGTATGGTAGACAGTAAGGAGAATCACTAATGAGATCTTGGGAGTTAAAGGGTTAATCTCTATGGTTTCATACAGCATTAATATTTACCTGTGGTTATTCAGAAGGATGTTCTGAGGATAATTTTTCTTTACCCTTATCTCTGGCTTGCAGGGTCCATTTTCGAGGTATGACTATCAACGTACCCCAGCTCCTTCTTCAATCAAGTCTTTCAAGTCTGTTCTGCCAGCATCTGCCAGTGATGTGTATTATCGGGATGAAATTGGTAACATCTCCACCAGTAACCTGTGGTCTCAAGAAGATTCAGTCGAGCTGGAGTTGCGACCAAGGTTTCCTCTGTTTGGTGGCTGGCAAACAAGGTTCTACATGGGTTATAATGTTCCTAGTTATGAGTATCTATACAACCTAGGTGAGTTGTCAGCTGTGCTCTGTAGTGGAAGAACTGTATTATAGCAACAGGATCTATTGTGCAAAAAATATTTTTCTGCATGTTATCATTTATTGTTAATTTTTTTTCTCCGTTCTATTGAAGGGGTACTTACCATCAAAATAAATAATTATGTTTAGAAAAGTTGTCGAAACTAGTGTTGGTTTGGAAGGTTGTACCTAATTTAGTGGGAACTCTGGGTGTTCTTGCAGTATTTAGTAATAAAAGGGAATCTAAATCACATATATTTATAAATAGTGACCTCTGTTTGGTACGAAAATATGAGGGATGTTTGTCTGCAGTCATTATTTGTATGAAGATGGGAAACAAGACACAAGGTCTAAAAATTGGGGAATATCACTTGTGAGATATCCTCAGATATTCCCCAGTTTTAGCTGGGGCATATTCAATCACATGATGTGTTTGGACCAATTGCCCATGAGCAGAAGTATTTGATGGATTATATTCAAAGATTATTTGATGAATGATTGATCTATGAAAAACTACTGGTATTTTTGAGAGGATTGTGGTGATTCTTTTCCTGTATGAACGACTATGTGACAGTTGTGTTAATTTTGTAATAAACCAAAAATTAATGCTAGTTTACTTTTTCCCAATTTTACAGGTAGCAAATATGTTCTAAAGATGAGAATTATTGACCACATCTATGATGAGTTCGTTGTTGACAACCTTGCATTGCGCATCATTCTCCCAGAAGGATGCACGTAAGATTATTTACTTTGTTAGCTAAGAATTGACAAACATAGTAATGAGATAAATATATCCTATTAGGCATTTTGGTATGCAGTATTGCTGAGTAATTTGACAAGTTGTGCTGTATTTTGACAAGCCCATAGGGCAAGTCAAAATACAAAACAATGAGTAAAAATTCTCAGTGATACTATATACCAAAAGGTCTAATATGTTATTTATTATCCAACTGCTTTTTTTTCTGGTAAGTCTTTCTGTTCATTTCTCATAAGGCAGGAAAAGCAAAGTGGATAGAAAAGCATAATGTGTGCAGCCAACTGGTTAAACAGGTTTTTTATAGTACAAAACAACCAATTGTCCAATTAGCCATTCAATATCACAGGATATTTGTACTATATTCCTGCATTGTTTGTACTCTGCTTTGTGCAGTTGGATGATAATAATCAGTATTTCTTAATTTCATGATATCATTGTTCCTGATGTTGATATATTGGGTTTTCATCCTTTTTTCTGTAGAGACATTGAATTGAAAGCACCTTTTGCGATGGAGGAAGGAAAACGTGAATTGCATTATACCTATCTGGATACAATTGGACGTCCTGTGGTTGTTGTGCAGAAAAGCAACCTGGTAGAGCAACACATTCAAGACTTTGAGGTATATAGCATAAACCTTTTAACTCCCAGGAAGTGACCAAGATAGAATATTTCATAAGAAAACTTAATACAATATCTAGCAAACAATTGATGAGAAAAATTAGCAATAAGGATTATTAGTTGATCCAATACCAGTTAGGCATTTGGTTGGTCGACTATTTAGTCACACTCTCTTTCCCTTTGCATTCTTACAATAACTGAAGTACCCCTTAATTAAACAAAGGCTTTATACATATAAGTGTTCAAGCAAAGAACAGCAGGATTAATGAATTAATTCCCTTGATGTGCCATTATAATTT